TACAAGTTTGATGACAGGATGAGATACAAAAAGTTGGATAAATAAATTATTGGAGCTATTAATTCATGCCATAAAATCTGAGTGATTGTTTTGGTGAATATTGAAATCAGTAATTGTTTCAGACATGGCCTTATTGTTTCAAACAAATATGGTTGAATTTCTCAAAATCATATTAAGTTAAAACTAACACGTCTTAATGTCCATAAATTTTTATTTAGCACAAAGTACAGCTAATAGTTTACTATATAATTTCAAAATTATTTCCATGATGGTGTGTTCTTTTTAGATGAAAATAAATCCTTAGAACTTTTAGCATTCTCTCAACCAAAGAGGCATGTTTTGTTTTTCTGCAGATGCTCAGTATGCCTGGGTGACTATCAAGCAGAGGATAGGCTTCAACAAATACCAGCCTGTGCCCATACATTTCATATTGATTGCATTGATAGCTGGCTTTCCACCCACAGCACCTGTCCACTCTGCCGCTTATCCCTCCTTTCGTCTCATAAATCTCAAAATGAATCGCCTGATGTACCGGTGGAGTCGAGTCATGAATCTTCTGTTGCAGAGAATAATTTTGTAACACCCCTTCCACAGATGCCTCAAGCGTGTGAAGAAACAGAAGCTACAGAGTCCGGGTTGAGGAATAAGGAACCTAGAACTGTCCTACACAGTTCCGAAGAAGATCCAAGAAGTTCTCAATGGGTTGATTGTAAGCGAGAATTGAGGGATGCAGGAAATGCAACTGAGTTGCATGAGCATACTCGTGGATCTTCTGGTAATTTGTTATTTTTTATCATTAGCTTAGCTGATTCTTTTTTTCCCTCACATTTTTGCCCCCATTTTCAAAAGAATTTGTTAAAGAAGTTTTTCTTTTGCTATTATATAAATGCAATTATCATAATTTGATTATCACATTTCCACTGGATTGCCTTTTCGTATGTTTTATTCATTACCTTTGAGGTTATGAGACACAACTTCTTGTCTTAATTCTCATTTGTGAATTTGTTTAACAAATGCCTATCATTTGCACTTTCAAGTAGTACAGAAAGTACTAGAGTAATTAATCTGTTGTATCTCCAAATTTGACTTTATTCAATGGGGTCGCTTCCACCAGAGCTTTAGGAAGAGCACTAGGTAAAAAAAATCTGGGTTTAGCCATTAAACTCCTAAACGACTTTTCTGGATCATCCAAATAGTCTCCTTGAACAGCTGACCTCACAGATCTCTAAATGCCTGTATGCTAATTTTATACGATATGATGAATTTTCAGCCAATGACATCTCTTTGGTTCTCTGTCTGTCTATCCACACAGCTTGAGTTGAATTGAGGCATCAAAGCTGACAGTACTATCAAGAATTCTGCATACTAGTATAGTATCCATGTGAGACACAGCGGTTAGTGTAAAAGCTTCTAAACTGCCATATTTTGAGAGAGTATTTGGTCGAATTCTTCTATAGAAAGGCAAGAAGCAGCCAAACTGAAACATTCAAGAAATTTTGATATTAACATCCTAGAAGATGAAGGCTTGCTCATCAGCAAGGAGTTGCTAAGAACAATCGATGGAGTTCCTGTATAATTTACAAACAAGTGCATTGGTGTTTTCAGATGGGAAAAGAAAAGCTTTGATGAAGGGTTTTCCTATTGATCTTTTGTCGGTCTTGCCTTGATGAGAACGTTTGGTTGCTTGTAGGTGATAACCCTTGCCTGAATCTGACAGGCATCCAATTCTCATTTTCCCAACGAATATTATGAATAATACCCACTTTTATGTGGTGATTAGTGGAGTTTGAGAATTAAGATTTGATTGTAATGAAGGGTTACTATTTACTTGGCATGAGCCATGAGAGTGTTGTATGAGTCATGCAACTAGTATCTTGCAAGGCCTTTTCTTCTGATAATCATCTTTCTGGTGCATTACAGTTGTTAGCAATAATTTTATGGTTGTTAAATTATTTTATTTTAATGTATATTTATGTTATGTTATTTTATTTTAATGAACATTTCTACTAAAAAAAATGGAAATTTGGACAAGATTAGAAAAACAGACTTTGAAAAAACAAACGGGAAAAAAAGATGAAGGAAACAGCGAACATAAAGGGAAGAAAAAAAAAAAAAACACAGGAGTGTTGGAACATAACATACAATTAGGGATGCTAGAAAACAGTGAGCCTGCTTGGGCTCTAAGAGCATCCACAATGACGCTCTTTATTTCTTAGCTAAAATTTGGCTAAGAATATAATAAAGCTATTTTATGAGCTCTCTAAAAAAATTTAACTCTAACCATACTCCCTAATTTGGAGAGTCATAAATGCTATAACTCTTTTTTGATTGGTCCATCTCTATTAAAAAATAAAATAAAAATTAGTTAGCATTAAATAAAGGTTTGAAATACTCATTAAATAAAGCAGCATTAAATTGTAGGGAGCCACTAGGAGTCCTTTCTCTCTCCTCAAATTTAGGAGCTCCTAGAGGACTCTCTATTTTAGGAGGTGGATAGGGAGCGTGATTGGAGTTGCATTTTTATCATTCCTCCCTAAAATTTGTCTAAGGAGATGATTTAGGGAACCCATTGTGGATGCTCTAAGGCTCTATGCGAGTCCGTATATAGCTCCAGCAAGTTTTATGATATAGGGCCCGAAAAACTCTTCCATTGGGGATCCCACATTTGGCTTCTATATTTTTGAGCTCCAGGAAGGTGGAGCTCTTTAAACACTCTAATGCAACGACATATCACTTTTTGTTATTTTTAACCTACAACATAATGACACGTAATAAAAAAGTTTTTTCTGCCAATTAAGGCACCCCATTGGGGATGGCCTAACAAGAGTCTTCTTCTAGGTCCAATTGAACAACATCCACGCTTTTACAACAAACACTATTTTAGTACTTTTTTCTTTGAATCACCTTTTTTTTGGTCTTTAGCTTAAAAATCAGCTTTTTAAAAAGAAATGTGACTAGTAACATAACATATCTTTAGTATAGTGTAATGAAGTGTAAATTCTATAAATGGAGATATGTAGCTCTCATGTAAAAAAAATAAAAATAAAAAAAAGACGACACGAAGTGAAATAGTATTTAGGTTTAGTTTGAAGTTACACTGTTACTTCGTCCGCTAACACATTAATTGACAAATTCTTAAATAGGAATTTTGGTGATAATTTGCTTTGACTATCACACTCTGTGAATAAACACATGTATTATAACCATCGATGACAATTCTTCTATGTTAGAGTTTGTATAGGAAAAATACACTTGCATTTAATCCCACATTGGAATGAAGTTGTTTCCTTTCATGGTTTATAAGCACTAACATTTTGGAAATACTAAATAGAGTATGGGCCTAGTGGAGGCAAAGTTGAGCATCGCCATGATTTGGGCTTGGAATATATATATATATATATATTTATTAATTAGAAATTCATTTTCTAGATAAAATCAAAATCTGACATTCAAATGTGTTAAACAGTTAATGTAACTCTTGGTGATAGTTTAATCCAAGTTAGTATTTTGTGATAGTTTAACTCTTGGTGTAACTCTTAATGTAACTCTTATTGATTGTTCTCCAACATTCTATCTAATGACTTGAGAGGATGTTCTATCTTACAACTATTGAGAAAGTAAAATTGTTCATTTCATCAACTATTTATTAGCTAGTAGGAGCTTCTTATTTCCCAAACATGGGAAATGGAAGAAAATGAATTTCCTAATCTTCATTTCTCAGTTTCTAAACATAGGAATAGAGGATGTCCATTCCCATCTCGTGGGAGCTTTTTATCATTTTCTCTAAACCAAACCCCTAATTCAGACTTTTCAACAACAACAAACCTTAATTTTCAGACAAAAAATGAAACCAAACTCTAGAATTTCGAACGTGCGATCTACACGATTGGAGAATGATATGGTGTAGAGCAATGTAGGGGGAGATTGGCCCGTGGGGTTGAATTTGGGGGCAATCCAATGTTAGAGCTCTTCGTGCTTCTGGCTTCTTGTGTAAATGATGTCGTCGTGGTTGCTCGAAGAGGTTCAAGAAAGCGTGAGAAAATTAGAAGGTTCACAATGATACGTTAATGGCGATTAGGAAAACCAATCTCTGGGAATTCTTATCACCTACCTAATTCAGACCACTGGCAAAAAAAAAAGGGCCAAATTCAGACAAAAAATGAAACCAAACCCTAGAATTTCGAACGTGAGAACCACTTCAAATCTTTAACAATACAAGGGCCCACATTATTATTTTTGTTTTGGAACAACAAACATCCAATTAATCCAATACTTTATTCAAGGAAATGTATAGTTATAATGCAACAATGGTTGAGTTTTAGCACATTGGGTTGGAGATGGCCTTAAGTAACACAAATATTTAAGGGACGACACAATGTCCAGTAAACTCGATCGAAGTGTCTAATTTGATCATTAGAGGGTTGAGTTGGCCTAATAATGAGTGAGTCTTGAGTTCAAAAAATTATAAACTGCTTTGTACGTGTTGGGTTATTGGATAGAACCAAAACTTAAAAATGACTTTATTTTGAGTTAATCAGACCTAACCGTCCAATTCAATCACAAAAAGGTTGGATTGAGTTGGCCTAATAATAAGCAGGTCTTGGATTCAAGAAACCATAAATCACTTTATACAAAATTGAGTTACGAATTATGACCAAAACCGACCCAACCCAACCAACCCATGGCCGGCCCTACTAATATTTGCCGATCGATCGCTTCGCATCTTCATATTTTGTTTGTGTTTAGTAGCTCCTCCATTTTGTCCGTATGTTGAAGTAGAAGACCCAAACTAGAACAAAGAACAGTCAAAATGTCAACTAGAATACGTAGCATAGAGATGTACTACTCGCATCGCATCGCATCGCATGTGAAGCAAACAATCGCTTTGTTTGGAGGCTTTGCCATTTTAACACCACCTATCTCTCCTCAGTGAGCCAGTCCTCCCATGTATAATTTGGCTCCTGCCCAAGGCTTCTATTGGAGAGTTTCTTCAGGTAAATCTGTGGCATGAACCTTTTTTCGATCTGTTTGGTTGATGAGAAAATTGTTCAAAGAGAGAGCAATTTTCTCTTACAAGTCCTTCCAAAGTCAGACCAGTTGTTGGAGGGGAGTTGAGTTTTTCTTCCCTTCTTACTATTTATCGAGACCAAACAGGACTAGACTGGTCGTTGACCTTCAATTTTCAATATTTGCCCCTAGATCTTTGTGTTTTTCTGAAGCTGTGTAGTTGGGTCAATCTAAAATTTTGATTTTCTTTCTCTAGTATTTGGTATAACTTGTGGCCCCTTTCTTTCATTGATTACACTGAACGTTTGATTCGTGGGTCTCATAGCATGTATTTTTTGGGTTTTGCGATGTCGTTGTTTAATTAGAAACTTTCAATTTCCTGACTTCTAACTTGTGCTGAAGCCTGAAGGTAACGACTGATGAATTTTTGTGGATGGGTTTGTTAGGAATCTTGTTGTATTTTCATTGATTGTCTATTTCTCTTTGTTCTGATTACAGATTAGGGTCCTGAGAGTAGTTTCTTTTCTTGCTCTTGTAGGTGGTCCTGAAAAGCCAAAACCAATGCATGGTGGACTTACATTCTTGACTTTGAGTACTTAGCTGAAGAACTGCTCTTGTATTTCTTGGACGCTTTTGATTTTGTATCTGAGTTGTTGTTTACATAATTACATTTCGGTTGGTACTGATTATGCTTGGCACTGAGGTTCACCAGTAGAATTGGTTGTAGACTACAATTGAGTATAATATGGGTTCGATTCAAAATACTGTTTACTACTGTTGTGTATCAAGGGGTAATCGGATCCTTTATGTATACAGTGGTGGAGATGGTGAAATTGAGAACTTGGCTACTTTGTGCTTGGAAAAGACTCCTCCTTTTCATAGGTGGTATTTTGAGACAGTGGGCAAAAGGACTTATGGGTTCCTAATTGAAGATGGGCATATTTATTTCACAATTGTTGATGAGAGTCTGGGAAACCCTGGTGTTCTTCAGTTTCTAGAGCATTTGAGAGATGAATTCAAGAAGGTAGCCAGGAAGGGTTCCAGGGGAAGTTTGTCGAGTATGAGCTCTGTTGGTATACAAGAACAGTTAGTTCCTGTTATCCACCGCTTGATCACCTCCTTGGAGAATGTTTCTCAGAGTGGTAGTAATTGGACAGCTGAAACTTCCCTGTCACTTCATGCTGGTCTTTCTCCATCACCAAGTGGTGCAAACGGACAAACTGAAGTTGCCACTTCTACAAAAGCCCCTCTATTGGGGAAGCCTAACAAGCAAGATAAGAAGAAATCGAAAGATCATGTTATTGCTATGAGAGACATTGAGTTGGAGGAACATAGGAAATCTACGGATAGAGGTGTCAATATTGACTCAGCAAATTCAGATTCTAATAGCCATGCTGGAGCAGGTTCTTCAATTGCATTACAAAAAGATTTGGGCTCAATGAGGATTAGGTCAGGCTCTCAAGGCATTCGAAAGAAGTGGTGTCGCCAAGTGCGAATCGTCCTTGCCATTGATGCGGCTGTTTGTGTAATACTGTTTGTGATATGGTTATTGATATGTAATGGTATTGCGTGCATCCGTTGAATATCTTGTAATATAAATATGATTCCAAACTTGATCAGTTTCTAAAGTGGAGCTTGAAATCATGACTAGAGATGCAGAAAATCATAAGTCATCAAGAAACAGGTCTACGGAGAGAGAGAAGAAAAGGGGGTGGAGAGGGAGAAGGAAGAGGGAGAGATTGAAAGAAGTATATGGAAGCAAAGTATTAACATTCTCAATGATGTTTTTACATCTATTTGAAGGTATGTGCTCAAAATACAGATGGTTGAGGAATTTGGTGTATAGTTTTACAGTTCCAATGCTTTGTATATTCAGATTTATAAAATTATCAACTTCTCAGTTCGAGTGTTTCGATGACCTTTTGCAATTACATAATATTTGTAGTTGCTGGGATTTTTGGATGTGTTCTTCAATCATTTCAGTATTATTCTTGGTCTTTTGGGATAGTGTATCATGCATTGAAGCATCCTATTAGGTATTGTTGTATGCGTAACCTCTCTCTTGCTTTGTTTATATTTGTTCATCATTCTCAGCATCTTTGGTGGCTGGCAACTGGTTGGGGGTGGAAACAGCCAGCTATATAAAAATTCTTTTTACAATTTAGGGAATTGCTAGGATGTTTTTTATTTTTCAAATGGAGGGTTTTGTCACTGGTTGTTTTTGTATTTTCCCTAATTATTTTCTTCTCACAAAAAAAGATATCGTGTAGTGTAACATGCATGATATTGTGTTGCGGGGTAATTAAAACATTCTGAAGTGATTGGTTGCAATTGTAGTTCAATTGCCATTATAAAGGTGTGATAATGTCCCAAGTAACTCTTGGTCTAATTATATGTCTTTTCAATTTTGGGAGACATTTGAATCCCTAACCCCCAATTGATAACAGAAAAGGTTTATATATTCAGACTTTAATAAAAGTAATGTTAACGAAAGCCAATTCACCTTAAAAGAAAAAAAAAAAGGAAGCTTAATAAGGTGTTGGTGTTACACAATTGTTACAAACAGGTAAATTGCTTAGAGCATCTTTAGCAGATATGTCAAATTGCCACATGGACATGAAATGACAAAAATTGAAGGTTAAAATTGCTCTAATCGAATAGTCAAATCCTATACGAATTTGAAGGCTAGAAGAGATGTCAAAAATAACATATCAAAAAGCTTGATATCAAATATTATTTTAGTTATAGACCCACTATCATTGAGTAACTTTTCAAACTTTATGCATTATATAGGCCTCATTTACTTCAAAAAATATAATAAAATAATATGATATTCCGCATTTCGAGTGGAGTTAAATTTTTTCCAAAGTGTCAAATTGCCACATAAGCCATCAAATTCGAATTTAACATTTTGCAAGATGCTCTTAGATTGCAATCAACCAGTTCTTGAAAAGGACTTTGTGGATCCTACATGCTTTATCAAAATAAGAGTGTTGGGCATCACACTGTTTTTCACTTCAACTCTTTCAACAACTTGTATATTACTTTCAAACCATAGCTACTTTGGAGATTGAATGGTGAACAAAATTATAAATGTGCCCATGTAGTTTGCAGCACTTATGATCCTCTTAATTGATAAAACGTTGCATGATAAATAGAGTCACAAAGGTAGAGGTGGTTAGGCAAATGAAATCTTCTTGAGCTTGAGGCATGGAAGCCTTGGATTGCTTGCGTTCTTGGCTAAATGGGTAATGGCTAACCAGTCAGTCAGTCAGTAACCAGTTGAGTTGAGTTGAGTTGGCTTCCTGGTAAAACAATGTCTTAGTCTAGTCCACAAATGAAGCTGATGCAGAACAATCAAACCAATATTCTCATTTCATTTGTACTCATTTGGTAATTGAAGTTTCATCCCTCCCCACTAAGGATTTGTTGAGGCACCAACACTCTGAATACAGCATAGTGATGATTTAAGCTTCTTTCCCCTTGTAGTCTGTGAACACTACCCAATGCCCCTGCATTTGGGTTTGGGAAAGCAAAGAATATACGCCTAATTCTCTGATGGACAAGTGCCATTGCACACCTTTAATAAGAATATAATATCAGAAAACTGAACATAATAAAACTAGTTTAAAACAAAAAACACAAACTCAGGTTTCCAGTTTCCACAGAGAGAGAGAGAGAGAGAGAGAGAGTTTCATAGTGGACATTTCAATTGCATACAGTGTGTATCAGCCAATGCAAGATTTCTCTAAAACAATCCTTTCCACACATTATCTAGTGTGTACAGAGGATGCAACACAGATTTATAATGCGAATTATATATAAATGTGCATTTATTTGACAGACAACAAAAAGATAGATTTTACCAATGGAGCTCAGGATGACAGAACCGAAATGATCAAGCCTAGATATGGAAAAGATGAAATAACCTAAGGCTACGATGTCAAATCATGCCTACATTTCCAGACCTTTGAAAGATCTTAGTGAGGAGAGAAATGAAAGGATGAACAGTCCAAATTTCAGTCTCACAAGATTTTGGAATACCTACGAGATTATGAAAGAAGTATGATTAACAAAATTTAAGATGTCAACTACGTTCAAGTTCCTATCAGCAAGCATGTAAAGGCAGTGTAAGAGTTAAAGAAACAAATAATAATAAGAAGTTACAGACAAGGATTTCAGTATGGAATCATAATTATCATTTGGACCATACACAACACAAGCATAAAAAGTTCAAAGAAATGTTACTATCAGGAAAACTAACAAATTCAGGGACACAGTAGAAATCTAGTGAGTACACTACTCATGAACTTACATTATGCACGGCTCCCAAACAATGTACATGTCAAAACCTGTACATAGATAAGGCCTGGCTGATAAAGAACTGGAACCTTCACCATTAGTGTCCAGATTGTCGTTGTCACTGTGAACCTGAATAGATAATAAGATTCTTAAATATTAATTTGAATACAAGTCACCCAACCCAAGAACTTCGATTGTTCAAAGACAATGTTATTGTGAAATTACAGTTATACCGTTTTAATGATTGTGTGACAATGATATACTTCACATATCACAGGTTTCATATTCAGAGCAATAGGTCCCCTACCGAGAAAAAAAGAACTCCTAAATGACGGGAAATGAGTGGACACTAGACAATCCCTCCCTTACCCTCATTTAGTGCTCTCCCCAAAATGGCTCAATTTGAAGCACAAAGAAACAACTCACATTTGTAGAATTAGTCTTTTGTCTTTTTGCTGGAGAGCCTGCAGAAGAAGACTGCACGTTGTCCATTTCAAAAGACTTATCTTGGATTTTTCCCAAACTGGGGAAAAGATATCTGTCTCTGGCAGCAGAAGATTCAATAGCAACAATGGCAGCATGACGTAAAGGGTGCCAATAACACGAACTCATGTCTGATTGTTGATCAGCCCATTGCCAAGGATATAAACAAGATAAACCGGTACATAATTGTTTTGATTTGTCTTGAAAACTATTTGAATGCACAGTTTGATGGTTCAATACTCCATCTGAATCACTATGGGAAATAAAAGCTTCTAACTTTTCACAGCAGCTGGTTTCAAGGGTGATCTTGTTTGTGGGACTATACGAAGAGCAAGTTTGATCACATGCAGTAGTGATTACCTGTTTAACTAAAGGATCCACTATAACTGCAGCATTGACTACCTGCAGATAGAGTGAAGGTTTCAATTAAGGGTCAATCCTACATTGAGAATTTAAGCCTTGCATTACACAGAATAAACTCTTTGGCTGGGTTGGATGCCATAACTTTAACATGAGAGCGTAGCAGGCAATCCATCCATGTGTTAGACCCAGTTTTGCCACATGTGCACTAAATCACCCAACATAATTGACCCATGTGTTTGGCTCAGGCGAACCACACGTGAGGAGACGTGTTGAAAACATAAATCCTACATCGAGAATTCTAAGCCTTGCATCAACTTTAAGAAGTTGCTGTCTGCAACCCAATATCTACCAGAAAGAAGTTTCCATTAAAAAAAACTTAGCCCCGTGCCTCCGAACAAATTTCAAGAATGAAGATTATGACCAACTCCTTTACAATCATTTATCATCTTTATTAAAGGAAAAGTCAATATTTCCTCATTTGTTGACAATTTTTATACTCAAACTGATGCTGATCCACATGTGTTGAGCAGCACTAACAAGGATACAACAGGGTGCTGGCTGAAAAATAAATAAATAATAAGGCTAGAAGAGATAAACATACATAGCACCACCCTGACCCTCCCAATTCATTTAGGATTCTTAATAATACTTTCAAAATATTAGCATCATTTTGAATATTTGAAAGCCTATGAGCAAAGGTTGACATGTACTTCTGAAAGTCACAATGCTGATATGAGATAGATGAGAGATATACAGAGAGAGAGAGAGAGAGAGAGAGAGAGAGAGAGAGAGAGAGAGAGAGGCAACACAAAGAAAATAAAATAGTTACCAAATTATCGCTAGACTTTGCCAAATGAATAGCGTACTTCATGAATCTGAACACTGATTGTGAGTCCTCTTCACTGAATCCAGTAATGCCATCAATATTACTGTATTTAAAAGGTAAAGGACAAACAAACAAAAGTTAAGATAATATGAAACAAATAATTATTTGACATGTGTTGGAGCATTGCAGAACCAGCAGCTACAGGGAAAAAAAAGAAAGTAACAAAACCCACACTGCAAAGGTGCAAATAGAAAAGAATATTTACAACCATCCAATATGACACCTTACACTTGTAAATGCAAATACTTTTTCTTATTTTTCCTGCCAGCATTAGCATAACTCATTGTCAGGTTCCATTTTCGTCATATATTATTAATATAATTAATGTTAGGCAACATGAATTATATAACTGCAAATAGCACTTTGGCAAGCTATCACATCACCTTGTTCCATCATATATGTTCAGGAACAAATTCTAGGACTATTGTTCATCCTTACTGAGATATTTTTTTACCTCCTCATCTCCCTAAACTTAGAAAGGAAAAACTAAATACTCCTGAACATCAATGATAGAGCTCACTAGTCCACAAAGAAAGACATTACTAAGAAGTAAATTAGTGTTAAAAAGGAAAAACACTTGGATAAACAAAACAAGAGCTTACTAGGTTGGTGGATGATAAGATGTTGGCCATAGCTTGCATTGTTCTTCCCACTCTTCTTTTGATAATGCAGCATACTTGCAGACCTAAAATTGAGTTGATTGACATGTATAAAACATGACAGTCTTGTCTAAAGCCAAAGTAAACAAACACAAGAGCATGTTTGGAGACTACCAGAAGAAGAGTAGGTTTCCAGAAAATAATAACAAAACTCATGCAAATCAAATTGCAATATTCAAAATGGGATAGTAAGTTCATGTGGAAGGGATCATAAAACTTTTTAATAAAGGGCATCATTGTATTTACAAGGCAAGGTCTAAGTGCAATTGCGTGAAAGTAAAGTATTAAGTAAAACAAAGGCCAAGAACAATCTCGAAATTCAATAGAATGCAATTAAAATGATTCCACCCAATAGTAAGATTATAGAGAATAATCAGTGTAATGCAAGATCATTGATAGTGCAATATTTTAATACCTTATAACAAGAGAAACATTAGGATTTTTTTTACATACTGATATAATTAAAATAATCCCCTTATGCAACTAAGACATCAAATATTACAGTAGCTCAAATGTATCTTTTATATATATAAAAGAAGCACTAATTAAACAAGATTAAAATGGAAAAAGAAAGACCCACTTTTGTGATAAAAGGACTCAACTTGTGGGAATTCATTAGCTCCTGTACATCATTCTGCATGCTCCCCAACTGATTACCATTTTCAGAAGCTGGACATAAGATCACAGATAGTTGAGTTTTTCCTGTAAGGTAAACTGATAGTCAACACCGTAAAGATAAGATAGTAAGAGCAACGTGGTGTCACCATGTCAGGTAAATATCGTCTTGGCATAAAAGTATCATTTATTTGTAATCACCAATCTTCTTTCTTTTTTTTCTTTTCTTCTTTTTTTGATCAATTGGGGATGAGAGGATTCGAACTTGGACCTCTTCCACCATTTGGAAGAAGTACCACTAGACCAAGAGCTAGTTGGTAATCAACAATCTTCAACAAATTAAAGTTAGGTAGGGTTTAGGGTTTAACAATACAAAATAAAGTTAGGTAGGGCAGACAGATACAGACCTCCTTCAACAAATTTCTTCTTCACCCGCTTCACGTGGCGGAGATTTTCCAGTGGTGATATTTGATTCAAACGCCTACACAAATTTAATTACTTTTTCGCATCAATTTTGTCAAAAAGAGAAAGAATTGGAAGGCATAAACACAATTACGACATGCCCAGTAAAACAAAACAAACCAATATCATCATGTTAATAGAAAATATAAAGAAAAACAAAAACAAAAACAGAGTAATGGTAGCAAAAGTAGAAGAAGAAGAAGGCAAGCAGCACCTTACAAGAGTGTTAGCAAATTTTGGGTCGATGAGTGAAGCAATTACATCCACTGTGGGTTGTTGGTCGGGAGCGATTGGGGGGTTGTCTGGGATGTGGAGGATCTGCCACGTGTCCATATTCTAGCTGGTTATCGTGTTCTTGTGGGTGGGCTAAGGGCTACAAATAAGAAGTAAGAAGGGGTTTTCAGTTTCGGATGCTGTCTGCCTGTCTGTCTGTCGGCGATGATATTCTCAGGGTTTTTAGCGCAACGTTCAAGTCCAAGGCGGGAGAGGGACGAAGCAGCAAATACTCACTCGAGGCTTTCTTTTGTTTTTCCTTTTTTTATTTATTTATTAGGAAGACTTCATTTTTATCATTGAAATGACATGTCAATACAAATTCAACTGCCCACGTCATAAGGCTGAATATATAAAAATACTATCGCTCTTCTATTCCAAAAAAAAAAAAAAAACGAATTTCCGTGGAAGATGTAAATTCATTTAAAATATTTCACTTGTATATTTTTCATAAACACATTATTTGTTTAAAAAGTTATCTTATTTACATGCAAGTTTTTGTCCATCTTTCTTTATCAACTGCTGGATACGATAATATGGGTTAATGACGTAATTTATTTATTTTTCCGTTCAAGAAATAGTATAAATAAATATCCACTTGTAGTATTCTATAATCACTCTGGCTGCTGGCTTGCCAGTAGAATAGAGATGGTAAATTAAGATGCATCCCAAATATCTTTTCCACAGGAGCAAAATCCGCCCCCAACGGAGGTGTAAATGTGGAATTACAACTCTTATAGACCTGGAAGTTGGAACTCATTTTGATCATATTTTTCAATCATAAAATTCATAAAAAGAAAGACGTTAATGATTCACTTTTTAAGACTGCACGCACCAAACACCTACATTTGTTTGTATGACAAGAATTGGCTTGGTGCTACTATAACCCATAAACTATCAAAAGGAAAATCTCCAAAGTAACAGTCTAATCAGGTCCGCGAGGCTATACGAATTTCAGGAAGGTATACGAATTTTGGCCCAAAATAAGTAATCTTAGTCCAATTTATAAGTAATGTCAAAAAATAATTAATCTTGGCCCAATTTATAAGCAATAACATTGTATAATTAGACACTAATCAAACCTATTCATTAATCAGAACCTTTCATTTCTAAGGCTGCAAGCAAAACATCCCCAGAAATCAGCTCAAACCCGCTAGTATTATCTTAAATACATAACATGCTGAAAAGTCACTTGAGCATCTTAAGCCAAAAATGTCTACACCAGGTCAAATATGCTTTTGGCAACAGATCAAAATACACTATACACGATAAGTCCATGCTAAAGCACACAATCTTGCAAGTCCATGGTTCTAGTAGCAAAAGTTTGCAAGTCCAAGTTCCTTAAGCTTGATATAGATGAGATTACTGGTGGACTTCATCTATCCCACTCATCCAAAAGTTGTGGAACCACTTTTGATTGTTGCCCTCCTACATTTGATTGTTGCCTTCCTACACCACTCGGCATATTGCTCATCAACCTATCCCAACCCATGATGTGGGGCAGCGCAAACTGCACAAGAAATATTTGTTTTTATTACAAGCACAAGAATTAAATCAATACAGGCATCAAAATGCATATCCCTAATTATTATCCTAGTTATAGGAAACTTTATATTCATAGTCATGTCATACACTGCAAGCAGTCTTCATAACCGCAAATTCAGCAGCTGTGACAGGAACTATGAAATTCTCTTTGGTTTTGAGGAGGTTGTTCACAACAGCTGTCACCAAAAATAGGGGGCACAATGTCAAATGCAGAAAGCATCAATCCCATATATCTCTATAGCCACATGACTAAATGAAGCAAAAGTACAACTTTAGACCAAGGTTCAGTAACTAAAAGCACACAGAATTTTTACTCAAAGCATCGAAACTTCAAATCACTTGCTCAAATTTAAAGCAACACTTGATAAATCGCAAACTCAATTTTATTTTATTTTTTCAGAAAATGTAAATACAAGCAGATAATTCACTTAGTAAGAACTTCACATTCACTTAAGTAAACAAGGGAATACAAGAAGATATAGTGTACTTACTCAAAGAAACCAAGTAGCCAGTGCCATCTGCATGACACTTAATTGACAAGCTCTTCCTCACTTGACCAGCATTACTGTAACATGAATTGCTCATTAAAGCCAAGTACTATCTATGTCCCGAAAATAATACAAAAACAACTGATGTTTTCACATTGAAACAAAAAGATGATGCCCTCTGAAAATTGTTTTATCAAAATGCAGTTCTTTCCATGAGGTAAGGAAAAAAGAAAACACCCTTGTTGCACATGTTTCCGCAAAAGTAGCAGGTCAGAAAATCAACCTTGATTTCATTGAGGGATCATGAAAGAATTCACAAGAATCCTTGGGACCCAAGCTTATCAGAGAGCCAACCTCCGTTGCTGATAAAGCAAATACCTAACAAATGTCATTGAGATTACTTAGTTATTTGGAAAGTAAACAAAATCAAAATCAAGACAATGTAAATAAGAACCGCTATGGAAATTACCTGCTTCTTTTCCCAGTCATACCTGCGCTCGCCAATGGCAGGAGTGAACTTCAACATGACAACACCACGCCGACTAACTACAAGATTTCCAGACTATACAATATATAAAGAGATGAATGAGAAGATACATCCTTGAATCCCTTCATAAGAAGGAGATCAATGAAATTATGAATGAAAAAGTAAAGATGCATACTTCCAATTTGGTGAATGTTGGGAGAACAGGATTCAAAGAGAGTGCAGCTTTTCCTTTGAAGATATCAAAAGAAGCAAATACATTATGAGCACTAGTTCCTACAGGTTCAGAAACAAAAGAACACAGATAAGCAGAGTAAATTTTATCCAACAGGAAAGAAAGATGTAAGAGATAAAAATTAAAATTGATTGTTTAAACAAATTACCTTTAACAGAAAAACTCTTACTGGCAGTTGAAAAGCTGGTGCTATGTGTATAAGCATGCATTGATAAAGCACCTCTAGTGGGGAACTGGTTCCTTTTGTCAACAAAGAAAAGTAGAAAAATACTAAGAGACGAGATTATGGAGACTAATCCTAGGAATGGGGAAGTGTTTGAAGTGTTGTTAGAGTTAGCCAATTCGATGAAAAACCATTCAAAAACTAATAAAATTTACCTTCTTAAGAAACAAGTACAACATCATTTTCACCTTAAATTCGGACCATAGCAAAAAGGTTGGATCCATTACAAGAACCGGGTTTCAGCAATTATAAGACAATGCTCCAAAATTGGAAGCTGATGGTGTCTATACAGCTAAACAGGGATGACTTTCAGCTTTTCAGGTCATCTTGTTTCTTGTTAATTCCCAGGGTAACGAATGAACAGTAAAGTAGGAAATAAGACGAAATCAATCAAATGGCCAATTCATGCGAGTGTGGAAGTCTATAGGTGTGTTAGAACAAAGTAAAAGTTCAATGTGGGTACCATACCATACACTGAAAATCAGAATTTGAACATAACGTACTTTTATAATACAAATAATATACATACCCATATTGACAAAACAAAACATTGCAACTCAAAGTTTCAACCTTTATTTCCAACACACCTATATATACAGGAAATTTACATTGACTGACTGATAAAAAAGAAATCCTTCATTTCTTAGCAGCCAATTCATACGATTCAAGCTCAGTTTCTCGACAAGGTAGATTTTTCACGCTATATTTTCAGGGTTTAAGGAAAATAAACAAAGGGTTTTTTCTTTTCAAGGTAAAATGAAAAAAGAAAAAGAAATAAAAGAGAGTTGGTACCTGGAGGAGGACAAGAGGCGCAAAACCTTCATCATCTTTGCTAAAGCTAAAGACCTCCGAACCCGAAGTCCGAACTACTTGTCTCTCAAAATCTGAAATCAGAGAATGCAGCGCTTTGTTGCTTTTGGTTTAATTTCGAGAGAGGGGGCAAATGAGTTTTATATTGGTGCACAACACGACCCGCCGTTTCCTGGCTTTCAATCTTACAAACAAACTCAACGCTACATGTCGTTGGTTTTAAGGGAGAATATTATTTTATTTTATGACAGCCCTGTCCCTGACACAAATGATATTTCTCTGCGCCCCCAACTTGGTGGTAGACGAAATTACCCTCTCTACACGTCTCATCTCATGAGATAACATTCTGATATTTATCGGGAAATATTTAAATTAAATACTTTTTTTTCTAAATTATATAGTGACACAATTGTATTACAGTTTATAGTATAATATAATTGTCTAACTATTATTTACACGTCTGTACATTTTTTAATACAAATATTTATATAGCATTTTGGACTGTAATTGCACAATTGTATGATATATACAATTTATTTTTATTTTGAGTTATATTTCAACAATGATAATGTTATGCATTAATTGGTAGTATTATTGTTCTTACTTATCATATATTTACGGCTCTTGTAATTGACGTCATATACAATACTTTTGTATTGTAATTGTTTAAGAACATACGTACATACATACACTGGTATAATTGTGTAACATAATTATACTACCTACGTACAGTTTTGGAGGACTACAATTGTCTTATCGTATAAACTTGGTTCTTTTGATTTTGTACCTTGTGGAAGGACAGTGTACCCAATCGGCCGATATTTCAATCCTTGGTTGCAAGCTAATACGGTGGATTGGGTGTGCTGATCATTTTCATGTAGAAAAAACATGTGATTTCAATCAAGTACAATTGAGTATTAAATTATATAATATTAATATATAGATAGGGTTAGAGCCATTTTTAGTCGCCATAGGTAACTCTCTAACCCATCTTTCTAATAATAAGATTCCCAACAAGACGACACTTGTGGCCGTTATTACTATTTTCCGTACCCCCAAAAATCCATCTCTCCACGCAAAGACAGGTGGTTATTAATTTGGGTGACGGAGGATGCTGCAGCATTTGCATCCTGATCATACCTTGCTCCTTTCGACGACGAGTCTTGATCATTTCCGAGATGAGACGTAACAAGGCGGTCCAGCATCGCCCATTCATTCATGCCACCCTGATCATGATGATCTCTTCCACCTCCTCCTGCAACCATTGGTGCTTGATTTGGTTCGCACGTCCCAACTTCCAACCCCGGCTCACACGCTTGGTACCGGAGGCTCTCACTCCCACTCTCACAGTCTCTAGGGTTTGTCATGAGCTGCTTCACCATGCCATGGCCCGGGGAGTCGTCAGAAGGGAGCGGAGTGTAGTCGTAGCCGGCGATGGGCTTGTGGGTTGAGATTAGGGCTTGGGGTTGGAAAAGAGAGTACTGAGGGGGTGGCTGGAGATGGGCGTAGTGAAGGCTTGGGTTGTTTAGTTCGAAGGCTTGACTGTGTTGTTGCCGTAGTAAGTATTCGTTGTCTCTGTGGGTATGCATGAAGGAGCGAGCATGGTTGGTGCTTGATGTGTTGTTGAGCTGTTGACGATCCGATGAGTTCATGCTCGAGCTTCCTCCTTCATTCCCAACCTTGAATAGGTTCTTCTTCTTGAACACCCTGCAGATCACCCACCCATCTTCCTGCATTTTTATAAGGTTATATATATTTGTGCTTGCAAATTAAAATCTCTCATTTAGTTAATGTTTTAAGGACTTACACTAGATAAGTTTCCTTGAGGATCTTCACCATCTTCAAGGCGATACTCATGCATAATCCAGTCCGTCTTTTGGCCATGGGGAGCTCTCCCTCTGTAGAAAACAAGGGTTTTTCTCATGCCAATCTTCTTGAAGGTGTTTCGGATGCACTTGTCCCGCCCTGTTGCCTTCCAAAACCCAGCATTTGTCGCCCTATTTGTCCGAGACCCTGTTGGGTACTTCCTGTCCTTGTGGCTGAAAAAGTACCACTCATTTTGTGGTGTCGATCCGATCCTACATCTCTCTGTACGTACACACACATACATAAACACACCAAAATCAATGAATTAATTAGAGAGATATATCAGATTGTATTAGGAGAAAGAAACTAAACAGTTATTTAAAGTACAAACGAGGAGCATATTGCAGATTAATGTGTTGAAGTCGCTTCATTAGTATATAAATTTAAAGAAGGCCCACAAAGATATGCCCCACCATAGCTAATTTTATCACAAACTTTTTATGTGGCACAGAGAAAGAAAGTGCCCTCGTCAATTGGTTGACTTGACTCACTACATGAGAAAGCCATGGCCGTATCTTGAAGAAAGAGCAGCTAAACAAGGACAGGGAAAGATTTACATAGAAAATCTTGAATCTCACATAGATAGTTCGACCAATTCATTTTGATATGGCAAATTGAGCAACTTTATTTTTATGGAATTGAGAAACTTGTACAAATCATTATATTTTATCAATTTTACTCGATCTATTCTAGAATAATGTGAAGAAAAAAAAACAAACAAATTTGCAAATATAATTGATCAATTATATGTTAAATTCTTGGTATGTTTGTGTCTATATATTACATATATATTCGACATATTTTAAAAAAATTTATAACCAAAACCAATTAAGATCGAGTAAAGACAATCCTTGAAGGACAGATCAATCATTCCAAGCCTGTTCCTAGCACACTACATATGAAGCTCTTAAGATCACAAGAAAATTAATTGACAAGTTTACATACCTTGCAACTCCCAAGGTTCCATCTTATTCAAGTCCACCTCTCTAATCACCTCCATGTCAAACTTCTGAAACGACACCTTCTTCTTCAAATAGTAGTGAAGCAGCTCTTCGTCTGTCGGATGGAATCGAAACCCCGGAGGCACACCCCCAGTCGATGAATTAGCCATATCCCTAGTTAATCACCAATCTCTTTTAAATATATATGTTTTTACTCTCAATATGTATATATCTACAGCAATATTGCACTAACAATTCAGTTAGCTAGCTTTGCTCTTCTCTCTCTCTCTCTCTCTCTCTCTGTGTATGTGTGTGTTTTGAGTTTGAGCAATGAATCAAATTTTACGTGGAGATGGTGTCATGGGGCTTAAATATCGTGATGATTGTCAACGGGAGGGCTTTGATTTAGGGGAAAAGGTTGACGGCCGGTGACTACGCCGACGGGGATGGTTAAAGCTTTCGTAAAAAGCAAGTCTGAGACTAGGATGGCTTTTTTCCTATAGTTTACCCTCCCTGCCTTCTTCATCACCTGCTTCTCTGGAGAGTGGTTCCACTCTCCAATCAGTTAGTCAATAACAGTAAAGGATTATCTTCCTTCTTCCATTTCCTATTATTTTTCTTACACATTAATTCTCATTACCCTTGGGACCTTGTCATATGTGACCATGTCTCACTACCATATATTTGGGATCACTCTACTTACTAGTTAGTTATCAATTGAATTATATTTCAACAACCACTACATGGTGACTTGTTGTTAGATTGAAGTATTGATGAAAAGGAGAGAGAGAGAAGAAGAGCAAAGGGAAATCAAATCCAACAGTCGATTTTAGAGTCTAAAATAGTCATATACTTAGAGATAATTTGTTGGAAAAATGACAAAGAACCACAGTAATTAGTAGTGGACCAATTAAGACTCAATGAGGTATAGTTGCACCTCTCATTGCCAGAAAAATCATTGTAGGTGCTTCAAATTGCCCATTTGCTCAGTTGATGTATAGATTACCTTATTTCCATTTTCAACATTTAAGGAAGTACCCTTTATTTTTATACAAATTTATAAATAAACCCAATCCTAGACGTGTATTTATAAAAAAACTCAAGCACTATTTAAACATAGAAACACACCCAAAATCAACAATTGTATATTTTTTGGGTGTGTTTATAAATGGGTTTTGAGTGTGTGTAATGATGAGTTTTGGGTGTGTTTATAAAGTGTTTTGGGTGTTGGGTTTTTTTATAATTTCAGCCCCCATTTTGGGTGTTTTAGTGAAACTCCCTTATTTTTATTTATTTTTATATTACTTCATTTACTTAAGTTTACAATATAAATAAGGAAGTACCTCCCATTTGGATTCAAATAAAAAATTCTAGAAAATCAAATTCCTACCAAATCAAAATATGAAAAATCGGTTTTAGTGCAAAATATTATTTAGGCTAAAAATGATGAATCATTAAGTCAATATATACTTCATACTAAAATCCCATAAAATCAAGTTTTTTTATTTGATGTGTAAGGAATAAAAGCCACCAAAAATTATCTTGAGAAAATTATTATTCCAAAAAATCATTTTTCATACTTAGTCAATATTTTTATATAAAACAAATTTTTCATGTATGAAGTGACCTAATGTCAATCTAGGTTAAAAACCTTAGATGTTCAATTCACAAAAAGTTTTTAACATTTTAAAATTGCATCTTTGCTAAAAAATTTATGGGTCTGCCAGTAACAGTAATACAGATCTAGTTCATCGGTTCAAAATAAACTCTCTCTTACTAAGCTAGGCAATTCTAATAAATTTCCCT